TAGTTGTTTTGGTAGTGTTTAAATATTCGTTCAAATTAAAAATTATTAAGCGTCGGTACTTTTATTAATTAAAGTAGTTGTAAGTATTTATTTTTAAGTGAAGGAGGTATAGGTAGATAGTATTGCACAGGCGTTTCAGATTTATTTTCATTTCTTTTTTGTTGTGAGTTGTATATGTTTCTGGTTATAATTCTATAAGAATATTTTAGTTCAAATAGTCACTTAGATTTTATGTGTAAGGTAGCTAAAGTTAGGACCACGTATTAGTTGTTTTGGTAGTGTTTAAATATTCGTTCAAAGTGTAATTTAATCATATAGCATGAATGTACGATGGCCCATCGAAAAGGAGTAGAAGCGGTAGACAGAACTTTAAGAGATATAAGACAAAATGATCGACCCATGGGCGGTATCACAGTTTTATTTTGTGGTGATTTCCGACAAACCTTAACGGTAATACCACGGGGAACCCGAGCTGCTGAGGTTAGGGCTTGCCTGAAAAGCTCTTATTTGTGGCGTGATATACAATCGGTGCATTTGACTATAAATATGCGAGTGAGAACTGTAGATAACCCGGATGATCGTGAATTTTCTGATATATTATTAAAGAAAATACCTTCACCAAAGATACCTATCCACAGCTACACCAAGGAAAATTTATTCTGACGCCTGAGTTATGTTGTATAGTGCAATCCCAACAACATCTTACATCGTCAGTTTACGGTGACGTAAAAAATTAAATAAGAACAATTCTTGGCTATGCGAAAGGTCCATTTTAACTCCTCGCAATGACCAGGCATCTGAGATTAATAATAAAATACTGTCGAATATCCAGGGGGAAAGCAAAGTTTATAGTTCAATAAATAGAATGGCCGAAGAACAAAAAGCCACTAATTACCCGATAGAATTTTTAAATTCTTTAAATATGCCCGTACTTCCTTCTCATGAAATTTGTTTAAAAATTGGAATTTAGATTATTCTGCTCCGAAATTTAAGACCACCACAAATTTGCAATGGAACTCGGCTTAAAGTAACCCAGTTGCAACAAAATGTAATCGAGGCTCAAATTTTAATAGGTTGCGGTGAAGGAGAAACCATCTTTATTCCCAGAATTCCCATAATACCAAATAATTTTCCATTCCAATTTAAAATAACGCAATTCCCAGTATCGGTGTGTTTTTTTTTTTTTTTTTTTTTTTTTTTTTAATCTTGTTTATTTAGAGGCTTTTACCTTATAAAGATATGCCAGCCCCATCATATCCTAACATTATAAATTACAAAATTAATATAAGACTACGACGACTCATTGTTGCAAAATATATATATAAGGCTTTTGAATATTTCCGACTGCGAATCTGCCAATATTGTTGCTAATATACCTACACCGAACACGTTTATATTATGTTTTTGCAATAATGACATTGTCTTATTGTTATACTTAGTACACTCTACAAGCATGTGCTGAACGTCATCGACTGTACCACAAATTTCACAATTAGGAGAGTCTACTTTTTTCATGAGGAAACCATATTTCCTGGATGGATAATGTCCAGTACGAAGTCTTAAAGCTGTTACAATGAACCTTCTGCTGCATTTCAAATTGACAAACCAAGGAATCCTCAGAGGCTGACACTGGATTGTCTTGTACCAGATTCCTTTTTCCCTACTTCGCTCGTCAAAATACTCTTTAAATTTTGCAAAACATTTTCTTTTGAATTTTCCTAGAAGCTCTGAATAAAATGGTAAAATATTTGAGTTAACCCCTTCACTGATAGCTAACTTCGCCAGTCTGTCAGCCTCTTCATTTCCTTTAAGGCCAACATGAGATGGAATCCATTGCAATCTCAGAGTAATATTACGCACATTGATTTCATAGATCCTGCTTAAAATAGAATATGCTATCGGTGTGCCTCTGCTGTGCCCAGAGGCGCATCGAGCTAAATGTTGTAAGGCACTTTTGCTATCTGTCAATATAACAAACCGATGTTCTTCTAACCCGTCAATATAATTTATGGCTTCTAAAATTGCAAGTAGCTCCATGGTCATGATTGAGACTTCAGTAGCTGATTTATACATAGCAGAGACTCCCTTTACATCAAAGAAAGCAGCGCCTACACCAAGAGTCCCTTTGGAACCATCTGTAAAGATGTGGGTCCAACCTGTATACTTCTCTCTCAATTCAATCATAGCATCAATATAAAGTTGCGAGGGAAAATAGCTGTTTTTGGCTTTCTTAACACAATCCATGTAATCTATAATTATATTCTTTACATCTACGTATGAAGTCCAAATGGACATTTTAAACATTTCTAATGGACTTGAGGTGTTAATGTTGTACTCTTTACATTCATTATAGGTGACCACAAGCAGGGGTTTCTTTTTAGATTGCCAGTAAGCTTCATTGATAACAGCATTTAAATCATTCAGTATTCTAATGGTGTCATTATTTTCCCAGGACATGCTTTTAACACAAAACTTATAAGCTAAATACAACCTTCTAATAAACAGTGGTTGGACACATAATTCACTCTCCATCGTATGTAAAGGAGTGCTCCTTATAAAGCCACCAACAATTCGAAGGGCCTGATTTTGGATTCTATCTAATTTTATAAGTTGAGTTTTTGAGCTGTTATCGTACAAAAAACTACCATAATCAAGCCTACTGCGGACCAAGGATTTATAAATAACACTCAAGTGTTTAGGATGTACACCCCAACCCGGGCCAGCCAAAACTTTTATCAAATTTAGAAATTTAGTAGATTTTTCAGCAATTTCGTTTAAGTGTTTATTCCACCTTAGATTTTTATTCAACCATAGACCTAAATATCTGACATTATCAACCATCGTTAATTTAGTATTTCCAAGTTTTAAAATTATCTCCCTCCTTTTGTAACCTCTGCTGAAGACGCAAGCAGTTGTCTTAGTTACAGATACATGAAGACCAATTTCATCTAGTATACTAATAGTATCGTTTATGGCTTTTTGTAACTGATTTTCGCAAACATGCAAATCCTTGTGTCTTAAGTAAAAAACAAAATCATCTGCATATTGTGCAATATTAACATTATTCACAGAGCGACATACTTGGACAGTAGCAATGTTGAACAGCAGTGGAGATAAAGGATCTCCTTGAGCTAGGCCTCTGCTGGTACATCTTGTATAAGGAATACTGTTTTGATCGTTCTTGATCATCAACTGTCTATTACTTAAAAAGGACCACAAATAACTACAGATATGGCTACCGACTCCAATATCGTCCAAGATCTCGACCATTTTTTCAACCAAAATGTCGTTATAGGCGTTTTCAATGTCCAAAAAAAACAGCAGCAGTAGGATTATTTTCAGTGAAGCCTAATTGTATGTATGAAACAAGTCTCGCTAAGGAATCCAGACAAGATTGAGCTCTTCTAAAACCAGTTGTGCAAGAGGAAAGAATATTACGTTTTTCGACATACCATTCTATTCTCCTACACATCATGTTATGGAAGATTTTACACAAGCAAGAAATAAGAGAAATAGGTCTTAATTTAGGTTCATGATCAACACTATTATTGTGAGCTTTTGGAATTGGTACAATAAGAATAGTTCGCCACTGCTTTGGTATAAAACTAAAGCTAAATATAGCATTGTATAACTGCAGTAAATATTCCTTTCCACTTTGAGGTAGGTTGAATATCATGGAATAAGTGATATCATCCGACCCTGGAGAAGTATCTTTCCTTTTAATACAGCTTTCTAATTCTTGTAAGGTAAACACAGACTGAAGTAACTCATTATAAGATTTAAATGTAGGTGGACAGTTACTAACATAGTCTGCAGTAAGTGACTTTAATAACTGATTTTTTTTTTCCTCGCAAACGGTAAATTGTGATTGGCGAGAACCTTTATACCAGCGCATCTTTCTCCACATATCTGTGACCGAGATAGATTCATTAAGACCAACACAAAATTCCTTCCAGCTGTTAGATTTAGCTTTTTTCAATAGATTTTTACATTCATTTACCTTTAATTCTAACTTCTGAAGGTTTGTGGGGGTGGGATTCTTTCTGAAAGTTTTTAATGCAAACCTTCTTTCTGCTACTAACTTAGATAACGTGGGATTCCAGTATTCTTTAGGTTTAAATGAATTTGAGGGATCTGTACAAATCTTTATAGTTGGAATATTTTTTTGTGCGGATATTAAAATCTTATCAAGAAAACCGTCATACAAGCTCTGAATATCATAAGATTGACAGTTAGTAAAGTCGGAAAGGAAAAAGGACTCTGTCAAGTCATCTCGGTAACTCACCCAATTAGCTTTCCTAAAGTTGCGTCTTTTTATGTAATTTCTATAGTTACTAAGTGTTACTGTAATTTTAATTATAAGATGATCACTTCCTAGACTTTCATTAGATACTTGCCATTCAAAATTAGTACAAATGTCTGTAGATGCAAATGTTATATCCGGAGCTGAACTTTGTAAAATACCGTTAACTAACCTCATTCTTGTACACTGACCATTATTTAGCGACATGAAACCGTGCTCTAAGGCCGAGTCAAATATTTGTATACCTCTCTGGTCGGTTTTGTAGGACCAATTACTGTGATGGCCGTTAAAATCACCTAAAACTAAAGATTTTGTAGCAACTAAAGAAAAAACTTTATCCCAATCCGATTGTTGAGTATGTACCGAAGAAGGGCAGTAAATAGCAATAATATTTTTCAAAATGTCAACATTTAACAAATTAATATGAATGGCTTCAATGCCTGGGTTCACATCATTTATACGACAAATCTGCGCTTTAATTGATTTATGTACGATAACAGCAACTCCCCCATATGCATCAAACCTATCTTTCCTAAATATATTGTAGCCCCTAAAGTAAGGAGTCTTATCGCTGTCCAACCATGTTTCTGTAACCACAGCTAAATGAATTTTTTCCTGACTTAATAAAGAATCTAATTCTATCTGTTTAGGTACCAAACTTTGTGAGTTCCATTGGAATATTTTTAAATAATTAACCTTATCCATTAATAAGATTTAAGAGAGTTCCAGATAAACTAATACCACTCAAAATATTTTCAAAATACGGCTTAAGCTCCTCAATTATAACTTTAAAAATCAACACCACCTTGTTTACACAATTTTCCTCACTCATAATAATTCTCTTCATATTTGAAAGTAGTCTCCATAAATCAAATCTTCTCTCCTTTTTCCGTTTTTGCGTGTCTACAGCAGGGTTATCCTCTGTTTCACTACTTATTTCTTCAAAATCCATGGTCGAATCTCTATCTTCCGTCTGATTTTTTGAGACTCTTCTCTTTTTTTCATTTCTTTTACCATATTTCAATTTAGTATTATTTTCAGTACGATCTTGGTTAGTATCATTACTTCCATTTGAGTGCTTAATCAAACTATCTTTAACAACACTGCTATAGGATTTACTTGTGATTATTGGGGGCGTCGATACATTATTATTAACAATACTAAAAGGGATAGAGCTTTCTATAAATGTCTCATTTGAATTTTGATTTTGTAAGTAAGTATCTAATGCCATTTTATATGTTTTATTTTGTTTACTCATTATTAAACGAATTTCCTTTTCTTTGTGGAAGAAAGGGCATTTCTTATCGAGTGCCATGTGATCACCTCCACAGTTCAGACACTTAAATACCTCTATTTCGCAATTAACATGACTGCCGCCACACTTGGGGCATACATTCTTATTCAATTTGCAAAATTTCTTAATGTGACCAAATTTCCAGCATTTTGAACACTGAGTTACAGGAAAGACGTATTTTTCTATTTCAAATTTGCATTTATAAATGTAAGCATGAGAAGGTGCTATCGTGCTTTTGAAGCATAGCCTTACCGTTTCACAGTCGACCCAATTACCATCGCTATGTAACCTCTTTAGTCTTTTCGCTGAAATCACTTCGATGGGAGAATCCAAATTTTTAACCAATTCTTCTTCGCTTATATCTAAATCAACACCCTTGATAATTCCGTACGATAAGTATCCTTGGTCAGTAAATTGGGCTCTTATATCCTTCTCTACTAACTTCTTATTCGATACAAGTTTCTCTGCTTGCATCTTATCATCAAATTTAATAAATGCTTTAAATATACTTTTGTATTTAATCTTCGAAACTTTTAGGACATTTTCATCTCTAAAAAACCTGGCTAGTGCCATTTGTTTTGGGAGTGGATTTGTCGAAAACAAGCTAACTTCAAAAAATTCGGAATGAGTATTATTATTGTCCAAATTCGTCTCATTGTCGATGGTCATGTCACTCCTAACTATTAATCTCTTTGGCTTTCTTTTTGTAATCGTTGTGAAACCATCCTCGCTGCTGCCTTCACTCTCTCGCATTCTTTTTTTATTTTTTTCCTTTGACTTTAAGATGTCAAAATTGCCTATGTCAGAACACAACTCGCTATGAATAATTTCATCTGAAATGCCTTGCAACTCTCGCTCACATTCATCAATAATTGCAGAATCACTTACTTCTTCTTCGTCCATTGTTATTATTACACTTTATAAATAAAATAAATGATAAATCAACACTATAACGCCACGCGAATATAACGTATGCGTAGGTAGTGACAACTGCGTGCGTTCGCCAGCTCGGCTCACGCGCGACGAGTATCGGTGTGTTATGCAATGACAATAAATAAGGCTCAAGGGCAGACCTTTCGTGTGTTGAGTAGATCTCGGTGTCAGTTGTTTTTCACATGGTCAGTTATGTCGGTCTTTCCCGGGTTAGCAGTCCTAGAATTTTTTATGTTCACGTTCCGGACGGGTCAAATTTCAACGTAGTCTACCCGGAAGCTTTGCGCTGAAGTATTTTCATTCTATATGTACTTAAGACTCATGTGAAAGCGATCTAAACAATATTACCAAAACATTAACATAATAACATACAAGGAGTTACACGCTGATGGTCTCGGGGCACAGTGATAATAATAATATTCTGCGGTTCCTTATTGCGATATTTTTAACAGTATTATATTTCCCTACTAAAATACGAAAGTTAATCTGTCTGTCACATCAAAACCACGGAACCCTGAGGAAGGACATATGCTACTTTTTTACGAAAAACGACGATAACTGTTACTTTATTACAAAAAATAAAGATGTGGTTTTTGGTTCTACTACACCAATGGTCAAGAGATGGCGCTGTAGTCTCCTGAATCGCGCTTTGGTTCCGTTGTTCCAGATTAATAAATACTTTTTGTTACTTTATTACAAAAAATAAACATGTGGTTTTTGGTTCTACTACACCAATGGTCAAGAGATGGCGCTGTAGTCTCCTGAATCGCGCTTTGGTTCTGTTGTTCCAGATTAATAAATACTTTTGATAGGCTTTCACAATGCAGTCGTTAGCACCCACTAAATAGAGATTCTATTTCTATTTTGTTGGTAGATTTTCTTAATAAGCGACCAACTTCATTATGTTAAAATTTTGTGTTACAGTGATGCGCGCGCATCTTAAAATTTCACCCTCATAATTTTTTCATAACGCGCCTAAAGAAGTATAACTTCAAAAATGAATCGCTGAATGTGTTGCTAAGCGCTTATCTCGAGAACAGCTGAACCGATTTCGATAATTCATTTTTTTTAAGAATTTTCCTTGCAGTACGAGGATGGTTCTTACGCAGAGAAAATTTTTAAAAAATGCCTGAAAAAGTCCAAAAACAACAATTTTCTATACTCCCATACAAACGATTCGTAATAATACTTAAAAGTCAATTTGAACTTCAATACCATAGCATAAATTTTAAATGTTGGTGGAGAGGTTCCGGGAAGGCAAAACAATTGAGGGACGTGATGTCAATAGAAGTTTGGAAAAGGCAAATATACCATTTTCAGTTTTTTTTTTATAATTGTATGAAGAGGCATTTTTGTCTACACTACAGCTCTACACCGAAGCGAAGCGAGGGCGGGCCACTAGTTATTTTATATTTTTTAACGAATTATTGTGCATATGAAAATGGGGTTAATAAAACTTTTATCTTTATTTCTTTGTAATCTACGTATTGATTATATACGTTATAGATTGCTCGTTAAATTTGACTATCTTGTCTAAGCTTTTACGATACATATTTCCGCGACTGACGGGCGGACGGAAGCTTTGTAATCACATTAATATTATTAAGGCGAAAGTTTGTGAGTCTGTATGTTTGTTACTTCTTCACGTCTAAACGGCTGGAGCGACTTTAATAAAATTTGGTATGGAGTTAGCTGATACCCTGGCTGACATAGGCTACATTTTACTGTGGGAAAATATACCTAACTAGCAGCCCGCCCTCGCTTCGCTGCGGTGTAGAGCTGAAGTGTAGACAACAGTTTTTGTTCTCAGGCTTGTATTATACACATTGACATTCATCTATGATTCTTCTTATACCTGCATGCAAAGTGACAGCCCGATTGGTTTAAAATTGACAAAGTTTCATACAAACTTTCATTCCCTATTTTATCTCCTTGGGGGTAGAATTGATCAAAAGCCTTTCTTAGCGGATAACATTTACATTTACTTACGTCATAACATCTACCTGCATACCAAATTTCAGCCCGATCCGTCCAGTGCTTTGGGCTGTGCGTTAATAGATCACTGTCAGTAAGTCAGTCACCTTTGAGTTTTATATATAAACCGTGGGTCAAATTGCGGGGCACAGCTAGTTTATAATTTAGAAAAAAAAACGAACTAAAAACTCAAAAGAAGCAAAGCATCACAGATGTAGCACTGTGAGATTGAAAAGTGTTCTGTGAAACAGTCACCAGTCAACAAAAACTACTTTCGGCAGTTGTGTCACCTTTTGCGTACGGAACCCTAAAACAATATTAATATAGCATTCCTTTAACATACAAACTCGATTGTTGATAGTGATCAAAGCGGGAAGCCTCTAGGGCGAAGCTAGAAAACGATTTTTATCATTCGTGGAATTTCATGATCATTAAAAATACTAAAGAATACGTGGGTGCTGGTACCCATGTAGGAAACTCGGGAGACAATTAACCATATCTTTGGACCGCAACTAACGTGTTAATTAAATTGTTCGTCGCCAAGCAGGGCCGCCGGCAGATCTAATGTTGATTATGCAAGCGTGGGTACATTCGTTGAAGTTTTAAGTATGCCATTTGCTCAGATAAAGGAGATAATATGATGCCTATAGAAAGGTTATCGAGCTTTGTTGTAAAATTTGTTGGTTTAAGTTAACAATACTGAAAAACATAACTCTTCTACGAGATAAATATTTTGAAGTAAGTTAAAATTGTGTCATGGAATAATAACAATAAGTTTTTAAGTATATGATTGTTACCTTTTGACAATATAAAAGGTTCTATTTCAACAAGTACTTATGATGAGTAATAGAGGTTCGAAACTACCGATACTGGACTGAGGGCTGAAGAAAAACATAGAAATCACAAATAGCCTTTTTATAGCACGTCTAACTGTGGCTACAATTCCAATGAGTACAAAGAAATTTTGTGACTCATTTCTTTGTCGTACTATCCGTAAATGGAATGCTCTGCCCGCTCACGTGTTCCCTCTTACAACCTGGGATCCTTTAAAAGAGGCGTGAAGAAGCAACATACAGGCCCGCAGGGTGAGAATGGCTGGTTGTGCAGGTAGAACTGCTGTATCAGCTATCTTCGCGTCAGGACCTGCACTTAACATCAGGTGGGGTGGAGTCATTTGTCGGACCTATATATAATAAAAACCCTTTTATTCGTTCATTGAATGCCTATATATTGGTGGTTTCATATTTTTAAACAATAAATAAACAATGTGTGTGTGTGTGTGTGTTGTACAATAGTATTTTTTTATTAGGTATATATTTATGAAAGTACATCTTTGATTGTAGTTTAAAGCGACAACGGAAATAGTGTAAGTAGGTTAAACTCAAGCGAATCAATATTCTGGCCTAATACTAATATAATAAGTGCTGGACTTCAAATAAATATACGTATTTGGTATTTGTAAGTACATTTGACAGCAATATATCCTTATCATGCTTTGTAAGGAATGAAAATGGGAGACTGGTATCTCTTACCTATTAGACAAGTCTGTCCGTCTGTCTGTGGTGCTGTTTCAGCGGCCAAACCGTAAGAGATAGATAAAGAGAATATTTAAGTTATAAGTTAAGAATAGTCTGATAAGACTACAAACCGGATTTGAGTAACGTAGCACTTGCGGTTTTCGAGAAATCAGGTTTTGATGAACATTTGGTTCACTGGTTTGCTAGTCTCTTATCTATTAGACAAGTCCGTCTGTCTGTGGTGTTGTTTGAGCGGCCAAACCGTAAGAGATAGATAAAGAGAATATTTAAGTTATAAGTTAAGAATAGTCTGATAAGACTACAAACCGGATTTGAGTAACGTAGCACATCCGGTTTTCGAGAAATCAGGTTTTGGTGAACATTTAGTTCACTGGTTTGCTAGTCAAATTCACTAATAGCAAATATCACTAGTCATGTGAAATGCTAGCATAAAATATGCAATCGCAAACTTCTTGAACTGTACAGATGTAAGGAAATATCACAGCTTTCTGAATTAATACTTTGTATATGCGTATAGTATTATTGCATTTTAATTTACTTTGACTGTGCGTAACTGCCAATTAAAATTTACTATGGAGCCAACATTTTTCCATGGGTACCTTTTAAACTATTTATGTACGGTAGTAGTGACGTAATGAACTAACTTGAAATACATAATACAGAACATTTCTTAGAAAATTTGTGATAAAATATATTTGCTATTTTCGTTTCTGCTTTAATGGAGAGCACTATATAAATTATAACCAATCATTATATGTACTTGAAATGAAAATTAATAAGCTTTACCAATAACAATAACTAGACTGGATATATCAACAATTCATATATAAATTTGGCTTTGTCTACGCTTCTACAATATAGTCCCTGCCAATATCAATGAGCGTCAATAAATAAAAAGCAGTAAGTATATTTAAATTTCTTGAATTAAAAATAAGTTTTTCATGATACCTATTAGAACAGTCTAACTAATTTCAGACAAAAGGGCCTAGGTTTCTTTCCTATGCCTACATATGGTATATGCTATATGTAGATGACATTACTGTGTTTTGATTTTGACACTGTAATATTAAATTATTATGTAAATCTTGTAA